TACCGAGCACATCCACCTGTTGCAGAGCATCCACCTACGCTCGTGGAGATAGCCAAGTGCAGCAGCCAGTGGCCACAGAAACAAACGTCCGTAACAGGAGGGCACTGACCCCAGCCAGTTCTGCATTGATTCCCTCCAGAAACAGCTGCTTCTAGAGGGGAGGTGGGGGGAAAGCCCTTCAAAACCGGGCCAAGAGTGATTGCTGCAAGCTGTTGGGCTCCCTGTGTCAACACGGGCGAGCTGGCGCTGACAGGGTCCCTCAGTCCATCCTCTGCCCTCCTCCGGGCCCCATCGCCCTCCCGCAGCCACACTCCTCCAGAAAAGAGGCAGCAGGAAAGAGACCCGAGTTGTTCAGCTGCATCTTCATCCCAGCTCCAAGGAGTTCAGGGGCTCACACAACCGCCTTCCTCACCCAGCACCTTCTGTTCACTCCCGCCTAGCGAAGCGGGATGCTGCGTCTTTGACAAAGGGCCCAGCTCAGCTCCAGACGTGCCGGCCAGCCCGCACAGAGGAGCCGCCAGCACCCACTGCCTTCCTGTCAGCGCCGTCCTTCCCCGAGCTCGGCGCTGGCACTGCGCTTTCACACAGGCATTCATTTTATTATGGTTACTTTGTGATGCTGCCTTACTGCCCTGCTATTTTTGAATGCGGGGCTGTAATAGAAGGCGTCTGACGGCCCAGGAGAGAGGGCAGCTATTACACTGTGGAGTCCCTGCAAGACAGGATCCGAGCACAGCCTATGTGTGGGCTCAGAGTCCAGACCCCAGGAGCAGCTCCACAGCTTTCCTTTCCCTTTCCACTTCTGCTTGTCAGTCCTCACAGCTTCAAAACACTCCCTCCAGTAGAACCTTTCCAAATGAGATGGTTGGGAAGGAAAAGGGCCACTCCAATGTGTCCTGAGAGATCAGCCCCACCAGCTCCACCTTGGCGCTCCGGCCTTACAGAACCTGTGAGACAATTCTGCACGGTTCTGTGAGCAGCAAGAGATGAAGGGGAACGCTCCACCCCACTCACACGGACAAATTCTTTTATGTGAAGACACAGGAATTCATTAGAGTTAGATGGTTGGGAAGGAAAAGGGCCACTCCAATGTGTCCTGAGAGATCAGCCCCACCAGCTCCACCTTGGCGCTCCGGCCTTACAGAACCTGTGAGACAATTCTGCACGGTTCTGTGAGCAGCAAGAGATGAAGGGGAACGCTCCACCCCACTCACACGGACAAATTCTTTTATGTGAAGACACAGGAATTCATTAGAGTTCATCTTCCACCTGGACTTTAAATAACTACTGATGCTGACCTTCTGCCCCATCGCCTGTCTCTACAAAGCACCGGTTCGATCCATTCCCTGTTCTGAGCAGAGACACCCTCGGTCATCAGCACTTTGCTGCACGGCCGCAGGTGAGCCCTCCTGTGCATTCGATCTGGAGTGGTTTCTGACTCGGCAGAGGTGATCCCCGTGGTACCTCTGTTGGCTGGCATACAAACAGCTCTTCTGTCAGAACTCCCGTACTGGTGTGACCGCCGGCCGTAGTCCTCTCTGAGGAGCAGCTCACAAACTGCAAGCCTCTGGCACTCATCAGAGCCAGCTCTGCGACAGGCGGGAGACAATGAGCCTTCCCCCTGAGCACAATCTGTCACGCTTCCTCCGGCACACCCCCAGGACCCGGGCAGCTGCTCTCCTCAGCACACTGACCAGCAGACGTTTGCGTAACGGGAAGTACGGAATAGGGACATGAGGCACTGCTGGCAGGGGACAGGGCTGTGACTCTTTATCCCTGCATCTTCCAGCAGCAAGGAGACAAAGCCAACAGTTCACTGCCCCGCAGCCAGGCCGGCTCAGAGAGCAAACCCTCTCATCCCTGCCGAGAAGCACCAGCCCCGCACGGACAGCGTGCCGCTGCTTCAGGACAGGACAGGACAGCCTGCAGCTGGCTCTGAACAAGGAAGGGAAAGACAAGCCTGCACCCAGGGGCCCCACCAGCCCAAGAGTGCTTCATTTCCACCTCTGTGCACAAATGAAGCGGGTCCTAGTCGGAGCCAGTGCCAGCAGAGCTGCCCAGGACGAGCACACACACGGGCAGACCACAGTCTCGCCAGCCCGTGCGGTCGCTCAGTGTCCAGACGAGCCGTGCAGCATCCCACTCGCCCCGGGAGGTACGGTCAGGCCTCGCGCTGCCCACCCAGGGGCC